ACACTTAATAGCCTGTTGCATCATTAAACTATTAATTACACACCGTTTAATCCCAACGCTCTTCATTTTTGTTTAAATAAAAGCTTTCTCAGATCTGTTTTTCTTTCTGAGTGCTAAGTGTTTCGTACCTGAAATTTTCTGAAATTGTCTTTTTGATTTGAGGCATAGTGCCTGGTCCTCATTGCAGTTTATTCTGACTGTGAGCCACCCATTTAAACTGGAAGAGACCATCCAATGGGCATTTAAAGAAACTATGCATTGTGTGTGTGTTTGTGTGTGTGTGTGTGCGTGTGCGCATGCGTACGTGCATGCATTCGTGTGTGTGTGTTTAAGAGACAGCTGTAGAAAAGAATTTGGCATCTCAAAACATTCATTTTCCATGGTTGTCTATGATATTATTATGAGTAAATAATAGCCAAATTTTAATTTTGAGGTGAATTATTTAGTAGTCTATTGGATATGCAGTATTTTTGTTTTAACACAATGGGATTAAATTAGTGTTATAATTAAATCTTGAACACACAATAACTTATGATACTTAAATGAACTAACAATTCATTCATTTATTGGTGATTGATGATTTATAGTGTTTTTTTCTGTAACTTGGTAAATTTTCAGCAGTTGAAAATTGCAAATTGACATCTGCAAAAATGCTTAGGGTGCTTAGACTTGGTCAGACTCTAAACAAGATTAGATCAGCACTGGATCTCATTTGGATGGACTTGCTGAACAAACGGCACTGAACAAGACTCCAAACTCATTTTTTGGCAAACAGGAAAGGTTACTGAATGAATTTGAAGGACTTTTTTTTGTGAATGGATTCAAAAGATTTGATTCAAAATATAATTGCCTCCAAATTCATCTCCACAGGCATAGTCATGCCCACAATTGAATTTTTTACACAGTTGGGATACTTTCTTTTTGTTAGACTATTTTCCTTTGAGAGTGATGGATTATTAAATATGTTCTCTAGAATTGCAAAACGTCATGGAGCATCCTGGGATGCTTCGTACTGAATCTTGAGTGTGAAAGTTTGCCAAAACTGAATTTAACAGATTTGTGGTTTATGACTAAGCTCTTGGTAATGTTATTAACATCACAGGTAGCTTAATAAACCTAAAGTTCTTCATGTATGTCTTAATTTAAAAGAGTAGTGTGTGTGTGCAAGCCAATTTATACAATTAATAAAGGAAATATAGCTTATACTGTAGATGACTTGTTATGTATAGGTATATGCAGTATATGTATGTAAACTGTGTATGTAATAAATACATATGGTAAAGTATTAGCACATCTAGTGAGGCTAAACACAAATGGATGTGTAATTTAGGGCACAAAGAGAGACAGGACAATAGGTAGGGAAAAAATGATGAGGAGGCATAAGCAGGGTTTGAAAGAAAAAAAAAAAAACTTTTCAATGAACAGGCCTCCTCCTGAGTGTGAACATATTAATATTAATGGCTGCATTCCTCTGATTTCTGGCTCACTCAAATAACGCCTTTATTTGACCTGACAATTACAGCCCCACAAATACAATAGTGTTATTCAACATTTCCCTTTCACAGCTTTTCATATTCAGGCCAACAGAAGAGGAGTTCAGAGAAAAAGGTATTTATTAGAATTTAGGATAATTCTTTGTGAAAGGATGGATTAAACAAGACTTACCCCCATGTCATTCTTAGCCCATATGACGTACTTTCTTCACTAGATCAGAAACAGAGATGTTTGACAGAAAATGCTGAATGGTGACCACAGGCTATCAGACTTCAAAAATAAAAAGCACTACAGATGTACATCATGCGTTAGTCCAACAACAACATGTATGCTCAAGTCTTTTGAAGCCAAACAACAGCTTTGTTTTTGGATGAGGCTAAATCTTTTTATTCACTGAAAATCTTTCCCACTGCTGTACCTCTCGAATGTCAAGACTGATTCTTAAAATGCCAAGATCTGATTTACCAAAAAAAAGTGACTCTGAACCAGTTCTTTTTAATGAATCAAAAACATGTAGTGCAACAAATGTAGGGTTTTTCTCAAATGGAAGACTGCTTTTTCTAGGAGGATGCATCCTTAAAATGTTAGAATGAGACAGTCCAGAAAGTGAGCATGGCTAAGTCAGAAATGGTTTCACCTCCACGGTCAAGGCATGAAAATACTATAAAAAAAATAATTTGAAGAATACTTTATATTGAAATTTTTTTATATTAACTGACTTTCTATTAAAGCAGTGCAGGTGAAGACAACCGTCTTTGGTCTCCCAGTGGCTTACAGGATACGCCTGATTCATACTTCAAAACAAGGCTGAATGAAGGACGCAATACAAAGACTGCCTACTAAAGATAATTCAAATTGAGATGTCCTTCGATGGAGCTTTATGATGTGGCAGCCTGGATATGCAGCCTTACAAGGATGCATCCTTCCTTTTAAGAAGCACTCTTAGTCTGATTTATAAATAAAGGACTCTTTTGAACTCGTCTTTTAAGTTGATCCAAACAAAACAAAATCAGAAGTTACCATATGAATTAGTATGATAAATCTGTAAATGAATCTCTTAAAGTGCTTTCTGAATCACCATTAAGTTATCATTACTTCCAGTAGTCTATAATATGTTACAGAACTGGAACTGGATAACTTGCATATAGCGAAATTAAATGGAATCAGATCGGAATTAAGTCAAATCAGGAAATCCATAACTAGTCCTAAACACAAAATGATCATATGGCTTCAGAAGATTTGGAATATATCTCAAGAGTCATATGAACCACCTTTATGGTCCTTGTTGCCACTTTTAAAGCTTGACAATATTTAGTCTCCATTCACTTTCACTGTATGCAAACAAAACTCATTCTTTGAGTCCCTTTAAAGCTTTGCACATTATGTAGATGAAATCAAAAGGTATTATTTTCTTTTAAACCTCTCTTGAGCCTCTTCATCAGATAGACTGCGTTAACGTAGACACTGCCAGGGGCTGTACACCTCCACAGGGGCTCAGGCACGTTACCAACTCCTGGTCCGCCAGCTGCTGTCAGACATCCGTAATCGTATATATGTATCTAAGAAATGTTCAAGCAGATTTATGCATTCAATTTGAACAACTTAAATGGAGAATCCCACATAGCCCACAGCAGTTTTCCTCTGGGCCGAGCATTTGACTTTTATCTGTTGCTGAGAGCTTCGAGTCAGCATCAGGGAGTGATATGTAGCTAAGGAGCGAGAGCGAACATGAGCATCAATCCCTAAAGTAATTATCTCAGCTCCTCCTCATTCCAAAATGCTAAATATAAGATAAGCTTTTAGCTCCCAGTGGCAGCCATGTTGCCTTTGATAAACGGTGCAACTATAAAATTCGGGTGCGAACGCGAGTATGTGTGTTTTAGAGTATTCTGCGTTCACACAGCCTGGCTAGGAGTATAAATTCTCCTGCGTGCAATCTGTCTTTCTGCCATGCACAGTCTCTTGCACGCACACACAAAAGCAGATACAGATAGGCGGGCGATTCTGGTTGTTCTAGATTGGAATTGTCAGAGGTGTCACATTAAATGTGCTATTATTAAGTCCAGGCTGAATTTTATGGCCTTTGAGGATCGTAAATTGGTTGGCCAGTCCCTTAAATTACGTATCCATCGAGCGATGTGCTCTATCCGTCCTCACTATTCTCCTGCTTTACTTTCTCTTTCTGGCTTTCTCTCTCTTTTTCCCCCTCCCTTTCAGCGTGTACATATACGAGAGCTTGATCTTGACTCTGTGACCCTGGTTGAAATGGATGGCGTGAGTGTGACAGGATGAGAAGAGAGCGGGATGCTGAGAGTGGCTGACATCGGAGTTCACAGAGGCTTTAGGGGTCACTGTGGCCCTTGGCCAAAGCCGTGACCCTCCTGAGGGAATAACAAGAGATCCTGTCTCAGTATATCGATCAGGAGAAACGTACAAGGAGCTTTTAGTGCGTTTTAAAAGTTGGGGAGTCTAAAAATCACACTCTGTAGCAGATCTGAACGTTTCTGAAATGTTGAAATGTTTTTTGTGGAGAAAAAAATATGCTCTTGCTATTGTGAATAAGAAAATCAATGTACAATACAGAATTAAGTGTTGGCTTGGGTGACATTGTACGGACACGATTCAAAAGCGTTGTACAGTTGTTTGCTGCTCTCATCTGTATTTGATTATTTGAAGCTCAAGGACTTTGAAATGAAGTGTCTTTATGGCCAATATTTCACTTTAACTGACCTTGTCTATCAACTCTTGATCTGATGTATTGATGACGCTTAATTAAAACACACTCTGGGTGAATGGGTTAAGCTGATAGGCAGAGGCGGACGGCAGATAGATCAATAACACAGATCAGGGAAATGAAGATCTCAGGCTCTCAAAGGAGAGATAAAGATGGTGTTTAACAAATTAACATAAGAACTGAGGTGATAAAGCAGTAAAAAAAATCATTAAATTATAAGCACTTTTCTCTCTCGTGAGAGCCAGCTAGCAGAGCGCAGTCAACACTTAATTAAAGTTCGGGGAAAAGACTGCTGCTGACCATAAGCCAAACATAAACCGACTTTACTGATCCAGTACTACACTAGACTATGATTCAGATTATTGGTAAATGTCAGAAAACGTACTGTGAGATTGACCCCAAAATAATTGCATTTTTTTTAAATTAAGCCTATTTTTAGGACCATTAACATTATTTGTACCGTGACACACAATTCTCATTTCCATAATGCAAAAAAGATATATTTATTTAAATTTCAATTTAAAGGCTGTATAAGAAATGCCACCATTACGTATAATTTATGCTAGTTTAATTAAAATCAGCATTAAAAATAATAGGAAATGCTAGATGCATGCAAAGTGATGTGCTTAATGACATATAAATAATGTCACAATGTTATTTCTTTTAATGCAAGTCAAATGTCTCTTAACTTTTGAGAAGTTGTGGAATTATTAGGAATTGAAAAAGTTGCATGTCACATTGCAGTGCATGAAGAGCTGTTTTCTTTTTCCAGATGGCCACAGAGGTGTTGGAGGATCTTCTGGAGGAGGATGACGAGGTTGTGGAGGTTTGTGTTTAGTTTATTATATTTTTTAAATGGTAGAAGTGCTGTTACTCATATCACAAGTTAGCCAGTTATAAAACAAATTGGATTAATCTAAATAAGTCATGCCAGACTAAGATGACAGAATGTTAAAAAAGAAAATAAATGACTTGCTTTTAACATTGAAGGTGTTTGTTTCCTGTTGTTGTGGTTGTGTATTATCAGGCCCATCCTACCAGCTCCACCTGGTAGAATGTTTGACACCAGCATTTGATGCATTGCTCACTGACAACTGGATTAATAATATATGGCATTGTATCCTGCTGAAACAGTAGTCCTTTTGTGTGAAAGTGCTGTGGTCTTCACTTTACATGATTAGCTATGGAAATTCCGATCACAATGCTAGGGTGGCTGAAACTGAGGTACTGAGACTTTGTACTTTGATGGACCAGCATGCACACACATATTTCGTCTTTTTTCCATGCCCTAATGCCTCGTAAGTTATGGTTTGCTTTGGTGCCCCACAATACATTAAAAAGTATTATTAAACTAGAAGGCATACTGATCTTTTCTTCAGACTTGATTAAAAATAATGTATACACTACAAACAACATCCGGAGTTGATACATATTTAATGAGCTAAACTGAAGCCATTACATTATTAAACAAATGAATATGAAACGTAGGAATTTGAGAGATTTTATTTTGTAGAACTTTTATCACCAGTCCTGCTGGATGCTTTGATATGTCGGAATCGGAACTGGACAATGAAACTCCTTTGATTCCCATCCCTAGTCTATGCTCTGATGAGTCCAGTCCCACACACACACACTCTATCTCTTTCTCTTTCTCTCTAATAGATATCTGACAGATTGAGAGCGCTTACAGAGTGTTCTGAACATTCGGCTCAGGAGAGTCAGAGAGTGTGAAACAAAGAGACAGAGAGTGGGAGTGAGAGATGTTTAAACTTTGTGGTGTGTTATTGAGACATCAGAGGAGGATATAGAGTGTAACAGTAGGTGATAAAGTGAAGAGCACTTCAACACAGCACAATAAAAACATGCGCACACAACCCATCCCCACAGCCCATTTGCATCTGACTTCCCCTTATTCAATATTCTCATTTTTCTGGGTTCAAACAAAGCTGCCCGATTGTTTGTTTCTCCCTCTCTGTTTGCCGCAAAATAAGGTTATTTTAATCCTGCCTGAAATCAAATATTTATAGCGCTGACAGAGTGCACAGGAAGTGCTTTAGTGTTTGTTTTGTTAATTACAAATGTCTGACTGACTGACTGACTGACTGTCTCTCATGTACCCTGCTCTTTATGTATGTACTGTAGGCAAGAGTGGGGTACGCTGTGCCAGATTTTACATAATTTATCCTATAGGACAGTATTCCCAAACCCTCTTCCTGGAGTAACTTCAACTCTGCAATTTGGAACCAATGGGGAATATGGGACTGATTTACATTGAAAAAAAAAGTATATATATATGTGTGTGTGTGTGTGTGTGTGTATAATCAACATACTAATGTACAATCCCAATTTAAAGTCTGTTTGTTGCACATTATTCACATTTTAATAAACCAGTCAGGAAAAGGTTGTAATAATCAGAAAATGTGTATGTGCATAAATAGTCAACATTTTGTAATAGTAATAATATTTGTAATAGTATTACCTGCATTTGAAAGCAAAGCTTTAATTTTAGTTAAACAACAGACACAGCTTACCCCAAAAACAATTTGGTTTTATAAAACAAAAAAAAATATTATTATAAATTGTCAATAATTATTAGCAATTTTTTAGCCAGATAATCAACATTTTTATACAATGTTTAAACCTATAAATACAATATATATGTATACAAATTGTTATTTTATATATTTATTTATGTATATGTATTTTATTCTCTTTCTGTTTCAGGTGTGGTATCTGTTGGGATGGCTGTTTTATTTGCAGCTGGACAAACAAGACTTGACAAGCAACGGTGTGAACTTCAGAAAATCAGCTTGGACGTACCTTAGCAAGGCCAAAAAGGTACAGCTCACACACATACACACACTGTTCTTTTGGAAATGATGAGGCCATCTGATTTCATCTTGGCGTAGTTTTCATTATCCCCCACACACAGTGCACACACACACACACACACACACACACACACACACACACACATTTTCTACCTGACTGATTTCTCTACTCCTCCCTTGGTCCCTTCTCATTTTTTCCATCTGTCATGGCTCTCTTAGCATGCCGTCAGCTCTTTTTCTACTGTGAAATTTCTCAAACTCTGCTTGTGTCCGAGTGCTATAGAAATGGAAAATGAAAGCCAAAGTTTGAAAGAAAACGAGAGCGGGAATAGCTTGCAGGGTGAGGTATGACAATACCTATAGCTCTTCTTTTTTTTTTTTTTACCAACCCCTGTCCTTTTCTCTTCCTCCTCTCCATTTCCATCTCTTCCTCAGGCTTTTTGCTGTTTCTGGACTTTGGTTCTCTCTGAAGAAATCTTTGGTCACTGCATGTATTCTCTTTTGTTCTTCTTTCATCGGTTTTCTGTCTCTACGTCTCTCTTGTTCTCTGATGGATTTGTTGTCATCCATCTTTCTTTACCTCTGCTTCACCTTGCAGTCTCTCATTTTCTTGTTATTGCAGAATGCACTACTGATGGGTAGTTATGGCCAGCCAATAGGAAAGCAGGAGCAATATATCTCAGTAATCTTATTGATCCTAGTGGCTTTTCAAGGTCTCAAACATGTCAACCTTCATATTAAACAGCTAGACGAGACGCAATACAAACTCAACACCCAACACTTCAAGTAAAAACCTTCATGTAAAGTCTGGGTTTTAACCTCATTAATAAAGTAAAAGTTATGGATTATCCAAATGGATAAAGAAACATGAAAAAAAAAATGACCCAATGGGTAAAATATAATTGAATTGTAATAATTTAATATATTTTATTTAATATATATTTTTGTATTATTTTGCTCCTTTATAAATTTATAAACTCCTTTATTTTGTTACTTTAATAATATATTATATTTGTTTATGTATTTCTGTTTAATTCTTGCACTTATTTCTGAATTTATTTGTGATAATTTATTTGAGGGCATGGTCTTTAAGACAGTGGGTTTGATGATTTAAAAAAAAAAAATGTAGGTTGGGCTTATGTTTTAATCAAAATTTGGAAGTAAAAATATAATTATACAATTAATTATGAACCTATGCTCTTTTATTTCTAAGTCATTTAAGAGTATCTCTCCATCTGCATAATCTTGAAAGACTTCACAAGGTCTTTGGAGTTTGTCTACTGTTTAAATCTGTGAAGAAGAATCTCTGTTTGTGCTGCTTTATAAATTTTTTAAAAGGAAATTTGAGAGTAAAAATTAGCTCATGAGCACAAAATATGTAAACGAGACCTGAAAGTCACGCTCTTGGCTTTGATTTAGACTTGTGAATATTTAATTACTTTCGCTAACGTCTCAATTATTAATCTGCTCTTTAATCAGTGCCCCATATTGGGCAAGCTTTTGTTAGCCGTGTCATTAATATGGCCATAATAAAGCAAACAGTAATTATTTATTAATTAGCCTTTTAGAAGGTCATCTCTCTGCACTGTGAGATATACTGCCAGTTATGAATGAGTTGCTAGTATATGGCTTAGTTTTAAAAGTGATAAACTTTCAACTTTTAGTAATAGAATCGTCTAAACTGTTATTAAATCTGGTGATCATGTACATTTTTGACCTTTGAGAAGAGAATATTTCAATAGCATCATAAAGAGCCTTATTTTCTGCAACATTTCTCTATAAATGGTAATAATTGAAAATTTGCTGAAAATGTACTCACCCTCAGGCCATCCAAGATGTAGATGAGTTTGTTTCTTCAGCAGAAACAGAGTTGGAGAAATGTAGCATTCCATCACTTGCTCACCAGTGGATCTTCTGCAGAAAATGGGTGCCGTCAGAATGATGTAATGCTATATTTCTCCAAACCTGTTCCAAAGAAGAAACAAACTCATCTACTTCTTGGATGGCCTGAGGGTGAGTACATTTTCATTTTTGAGTGAACTATTCCTTTAAACCTATAAAACAGAAATGTATTTCCATTTTCTGTGGGAAAAAAAAAAAGATATTTTGAACAGTGGATCTGGGTTTTTTGTTCCATACAGTCGGCGTGAAGAATCCAATGTTGATCTGAACACTAACTTAAATTGAATGGACAAAAGTGAAACATCTTAAAAATATATTCTTCTGTGTTTTATAGATGAAAGTCAAAAGAACAAAAAATGTGCTTTAATACATGCATACATACATAAATATTCCTTATATCTAAAATGGGGACTTATTTTGAAATATATAATAATTACGTTGTTAGCTGTTGCCCAACTGCTGTTGATTGCAACTCCAAAAAGTATTTCCATATATTTTTGAATCTTCAGTTTCATGCCTCAGCTTTAGTGATCATTAGCAAGTTGTTGTGAAATTGATGGCTCCTGAGCTAATCTCTTGATTACAACCTCGATTTTTCTCCTGAATCAATTGATGTCCCCTGCTCCTCTGACTTAATTAGCTTGTGGCTACTCTGCCTGCTGCAGATTTGTTTTCTGTGTCTGTGCTCATATTGCCTTTTTCTACCTTCATCCCATCTTTCTCTTGCATCCTTACTCTCCGCTTGTTCCTCCGTCTCACTCTATGACTTCAGGCAGAGTTCAGATTCCACTTTAGCCACTATTCACCATTGATTTTCTGCCTTCTGCTCAATGTCCAGTTCTTTACACGTTTATCCCTCAATATACCCCCCTCTCCTCCCCCTCCATACCTCACTACCTCTCTTTTCTCGTTCTTTCACTCGTGCCATTCCTCACTACCTGTCTTTACTCCCTCTATTCCTTGCTAACTCTCTGTTCTTCTTCTTTTGCTCAGTACTTTTTTGTGTGTGGTCCTGTTTATACTTATACTTATCTGTCTTGCTGTTTCGATCACAAGTAGTCAGCCGAGATTTATTGCTGCTTATTCCTGGTGTTAAAGGATTAGTTCACCCAAAATCGAAATTGTATCCCCCTTATGTTGTTCCAGGCCTTCATGATTTTTTCTCTGTCCATGGAACACAGAACATTTTAAATAATATCTTGCTCACTCTTTTCAATGCAAATACAATGAATGAGTCTTTCAAGCTTTAAAAAGTATGTGAAAGAACCATAAAGGGATCAGTAATGTGGTCTATGTAATTCATGGTCCATATTCTAAGTCCTGATAGCTTTTTGTGAGGACCAGACCAAAATTTATTAGATATTTTTCAATTTTTCAGATGATGTCAGTGTGGAAGTTGTAGCTCAGGATTAAGATCAGGTCAGTTCATTAACAAATCATTTTGATTTTGGGAATTCATTGAAATAATCTGACTCAAGAATTTTGCTTTTTGAAAAAAGGAAAGTCATATACTGGTAGGCTGGGAAAGACATGAGCTGAGCAAACAATTACTGAATCCTGATCAAAGAATCCTGGAAAAAAAACAAATATCACAGTTTCCACCAAAATATTAAGCAGCACATCAGTTTTCAACATTGATAATAAGATAAATTGTTTCTTGAGCACCAAATCAACATATTAAAATGATTTCTGAAGGATCAAGTGACACTGAAGACTGGAGTAATGATGCTGAAAATTCAGCTTTGCCATAACAGGAATAAAATACATTTTAAAATATATTAAAATAGAAAACAATAGAAAACATAAACATATTAAGTTGCATTTATATTTCACAATCTTACGTTTTATGGTATTTTTCACTAAATAAATGCTGAGCCCAAACTTCCAAATGGTAGTGTGTACTGTATATTAGTTTGTTTGCTTTACATTAGCAGTTACGATGCATTTTTGGCATTTCCAAGTAGTTTTGTGATCAAATCACTTGCAGTGTATTTTAATGAGTTGGCCTGTTTTTCTTCCTCGGTTTTTTTTTATTCCTATCATATTTCATATGTCACTATCTCTTATTTCTTTCCATCAGCTCATTCTTTTTCTCTTCATCCCTCAGTACGTCTCTTTTTATTCTTCATTACCTCCGTCCCTTGTCCTGTATTGATCTGGACCATATTGATTGAGCTTTGAGTGCATGACCACATTTTCAGCCATTAATAATCCAACATATAATGATTTATCATGTTGATGTTATGATGCATATATGCTCCAGTCTCTTGCTTCGTGAATAGACAGTCACACTTTATCGATCCGCAAGGGGAAATTGAGGAAAGAAAAATTCGGAAGGCATTTCATCAGCTTTTGTTCTGTGTGGCAATATAGATCTTGTGTGTCACAGTGTTCCTGCAGCGTTAGTAAAGCGTCTCACGCAGCCATGGGTGCAAAATGGCAAAATTATCCGTTTTGAGGGTCTCATTGCTCTGTCTGTAACTTAACTTGGCAGCTTTTGAAATCACCCCTAGCAAAACACATGAAAAGCACATTTACTTACACACACTGACAAACCTTGTGTGACCTTGAGGAACTAATAAACACAGTTGAACAATTTGTTTGTTAATGTGCGTAAGAGTGAGTCTTCACGCTCTTTTCACATTCCAGTTAAATCAATTATGTTTCAGGTCTGCTGTTTTCTTCCAGTGTATCTGAGTGAATATAACATTTCCTGGAAGAGATGCAAAAGTGTTTTTAGTCTTAAATGTAGCCTTGCCTGGTGTTTATATGCAGATTTTGTCTGAGATTTGATAGTTTTATGTGTATTTGTATGTATTTCCACACATGTATTTTTCTCAACCCTATGCTTTGAGCGCAGTAGATTTGAACACATCTGAACCCATATCTGTCTTTCACACACACACACCAGAGCAATAGAGAGCAGGCAATGTGTTTTCATATGTTAGCTTAAAGCCAGCTATTAGGTGCTCTCTCATTGTTTATGGGTTTTACAATGCAGGAGTCAAATGTCAGGATAAAAATATTCTGGTAAGTGCCATGTTTAGTGCCCCTCTCTGTGTTTTTAACAGGCAGCATTGTGGTGTAACATAGTGGGCAAAATCT